GTGTCGCCGCGCCAGCGCCCGCCCCCGTCCCTACCTCAGCCCGCTCGCGACCCCGCGCCGGTGCGCGTCCCCGGACGGCCAGCCCCGACCTCCTTAACCGCAGCTCTCCATCGCCACCCACCGCACCGACAGCCCTCACGTGACGCCCGCCCCACAGCGGCTGCTCCGCCTCCGCCCGGCTCTGCCCGGGCGCCGGGCCCAGGTCCCCGCGAGGAGGGGGGCGGGGCGGCCGCGCCTCTCCCGGAAGCGACGTCACGCCGAGGGCGCCCGCCCCCGCCGCGCAGACTGGGGCTGGGGCGCCAGGGCTCTTTGCCAGCGGGGTTGAACCCAGCTTTGTGGAAAGAATTCTACCTTCTCTGCCCTAACTCTATCTTTATAAGGTAACTTTTGAGAAATGCAGGCTACGGTACCTAGTATGCCCGACAGATGACCAGAAGACTACAATTCCCAGGAGGAACTGCGGCCAACATTAGTCCGGGCTCCTGCTTGGCATCATGGGACTTGTAGTCATTACCAGCTTCGGCTGGTTCGAATATGTTATAGATTGTTTTCCAGAATTAGCAGCGCTTTAAGGGATGACAATCGATTTTGAGAGTCGGAAGAGTGAGCACTGCGTTTCAGCCTATTCGTCCTACATAATTCAGAAGTCCTTATTGGCAGAGAACTCCTGAAATTCTTTAGTGTTTTTTTAAATGATCTAGGGAGCAATTTTATCCCAAATAATAAAGTATTAGGCTTGTTAGACTTGCATATCTGAAGACCTGTAAGGTTATCGGGAAAGTCGTTCTTTGATAGTGAACTACCAAAATTCAGACCAGTCTACAGGCCTGTTTATCATTAGAATTGTGCAATTTGATTTAAGGATTGTTCCATGGTTTCTAAGGCTTTGGAATAGTCCCTGGCCTCCGAAAACTGATAGTTGTAATTTCGAAATGAACGTTAGAAGATAATCTGCTTTGTGGCATAATAATGGTTTGAGGTTGATAATATTGCCCTTCCAGCGTGAATGAGACATAGAAAGAGAATTCTGTAGATGTAGACTAAAAGAAGAAGTGGTTTTCAGGATAGACTTGGCAGTCTTGGCCTTGAGCTGGCCGTTCTATCCATGAGTAAATAAGGGTACAGAGAGAAAAGAAAAGAAAAGAAAAATGAGCCTTGGAATATTTCCCTGACTTGTGGACAGGGCTGCGGGTGGTAGCAGAAGATACCTGACAAGGAAAACCTGATAGTCCAATATCAAAGAAGCCAAGGAAAATTAAACTTTCAAGAAGAAAAAGTGTACAGATACCACAGTTAGGAGAAGTATAAAGATCTAGAACAGGTCATTGAAATTGTCCAAGAAGAACTTCCTTTAGAGATAATTGAAAGGAGCATACAGGATATACTAGTCTTTGTGTCCTTTATCTTCCAGAATATCTGGTCTTGATTAATGTCTGGATTTCACTTTCAGAAAATGAACTGAACATATTTTTTTAATTAAAAACAATTTTAAGTTGAAGTATAATTCACATATAACATTATATTAGTTTCAGGTGTACAACATAATGATTTGATATTTGTATATATTGCGAAATGAATGCCACAATATGACTGGTTAACATCTGTCACCACACATAGTAAAAAAAAAATTTTTTTAACATGATGAGGACTTTTAAGATTGCTCTCTTAGCAATTTTCAAGTATGCAATACACTATTATTAGCTATAGTCACCACGCTGTATGTTACATCCCCATGACTTATTTCGTAACCAGCCGTTTGTATCTTTTGATCTCCTTTATTCATTTCGCCCACCTCCCACTTCCTGTCTCTGGTAACCACCAATCTGTTCTCTGAGTCTATGAGCTTTTTTGTTTTTTTTGAATTCCACATACAACTGAGATCATATGGTATTTGTCTTTCTTTGTCTGTCTTATTTCACTTAGCATAACGCTTTCAGGGTCCATCCATGTTGTTGAAAATGGCAAGATTTCATTCTTTTTTATGGCTGCATAGTATTTCAGTATGTGTGTATGTGTGTGTGTGTGTGTGTGTGTGTGTATGTATATATCTGTGTATGTATATATATATACACACCACATATTCTTTATCCATTCATCCATCAGTGGACACTTAGATTGTTTCCATATCTTTCCTATTGTAAATAATGCCATGGTAAACATGGGGGTGCATATATCCTTTTGAGTTAGTGTTTGTGTTTTCTTTGGATAAATACCCAGAAGTGGAATTTCTGGATAATATGGGAGTTCTATTTTTAATTTTTTAAGGAGACTCCATACTGTTTTCCATAGTGGTTGCACCAATTTACATTCTCACCAACAGTGCACAAGGGTACCGTTTTTTTCCACATCCTCACCAACACTTGTTAGTTCTTGTCTTTTTGATAGTAGATATTCTGAAAGATGTGAGGTGATATCTCATTGTGGTTTTGATTTTCATTTCCCTGATGATTAGTGATGTTGAGCATCTTTTCATGTTACCTGTTGCTTGTTTGTATATCTTGTTTGGAAAAATGTCTGTTCAGATCCCCTTCCAGTTTTTAATAGGATGTTTTTTGTATTTTTTGGTCTTTTTTGCTATTGAGTTGTATGAGTTCTTTATATATTTTGGATATTAATCCCTTATCAGATATATGATTTGAAAATATTTTCTCCCATTCAATAGGTTGCCTTTTCATTTTGTTGATGATTTCTTTTGCTGTGCAGAAGCTTTTTAATTTGATGTAGTTCTGCTTGTTTATTTTTGCTTTTGTTGCCTGTGCTTTTAGAGTCAGATCCAAAAAAATCGTTGCCAAGACTGATGTCAAGGAGCTTACCACCTGTGTTTTCTTCTAGGAGTTTTATAGTTTCAGGTCTTACATTCAACCTTTAATCCATTTTGAGTTAATTTTTGTATGTGGTATAATATAGTAGTCTAGTTTCATTGTTTTGCATGTGGCTGTCCAGTTTTCCCAACATCATTTATTGAAGAGTCTGTCCTTTCCCCATTATGTATTCTTGGCCCATTTGTTGTAAATTAATTGACCATATATGCTTGAGCTTATTTCTGGGCTCTTGAACATCTTTGATAATCAAGAAAGAATATCCTATAATTGTCAGAGTCAAAGTTGCATTATCACAGCCCATATCTGATGGCTGGTCTTTGTATGGACTATTTCAGCTAAGCTTGGATGCCTCTACACAGTACACACAATCAAACTGAATTGTATACGTGTTAATTTGTAGAGTAACAGAAGACTATATTTCTGCCCTCTCATTCTTTTAATTTTATATAAAATATAGACACCTAGGAGGACATTTTGAGCCCACTCAAAGTACAATTTTATACAATGATATATAGACATTGACAACTGGGGGCAGAGGGGTTTAGGGGGAGAGGGATGGATGGTAAAAAAAAACCCCAGCAGAAAAAAGTGTGTGCAATTGGCAGACGTCTCTTGAGGTGGCTTCCTAAGATCCCAACATTTCCCCTTCTCTGGAACTGGTCCCTCTTCTATAAGGCTGGGCCCCTGGTGGTCATGTTTATAATATGTTACTCTTGTAACAAATGTTTTTTGTCATAGCTGATTGTGCCCAAGGAGGACATTTGACCCAAGTAGTGTCCAAAGGATGCTCTCTCCTAGGAATTAAAATGGGTTGGGGGGAGATATAGGCTGGAAGTCACAGGAGCTAAAGTCAGACTAAAGAAATTCTGTGGTGAGAAGTTCCGTGGAATCCCACTGGTGAGGTCCCTTGAGTTGATCTGGTCCTTCCCCATTCTCGACTTTTCTTTGGAGTTCATGAGATACCCTGGTGTTCTTTCAATAGATTTACTGTTCACTTAAATCTAGCCAGAGTTGATTCTGTGTTTATAACCAAAACTACAACGAATACAGCAAGTTGGAATGAGGCCAACTGAATTTATATAGTAAAAGCTGATAAAATGCAAATGATTTCTTTTCAATGATTTATAATAACTAAAATAATAAACAACTCTTTTAAATTATTATTTTGGTATAATTTCATAGATTCCCTAATTCATGTATGTCGTTTTCCATTGGCAGTTTTTCTGTAATCTTAATATTCAGGATTGTATTCCACCTGCCCTCTATTTTCTCACTGCCATGAAATTGTAAGAGTTCAGAGAAAGAACCACAAGTGATCTATTCTTAGAGTAAGAGGAGAAGACCAAAGTATAACAGGCCAACAGGACAGCCAACTTTGTTTCACAGTAAACCTGTGACCTCTGCAATTCCTAGATCCAGGGTAGGGATTATATGGCATTTATGATGGCACAGAGAAGACTCTCTTCAATACTGCTGCCATTCATTAGTGATTTTCCACTCATCATATTACGTAAGGAAAATTTTGAAAGCATGTGTGGAAATCCTACTGGAAATATAACAATGAGGACAAATTCCTTCACAAAATCACAGTTATAATCTTAAAACTGAAAGGGACCGTAATGATCATGAGGATAAGCCTCCATTTTAGAGCTAAGACTGCTGAGGAAAACAGAGGCTAAAAGATCTGCCTGTAATCACAGAGCCAACGAATCCCTGACTCCCAAACTAGTAAGTTTCTCACCGCACACAATAAGACACCCTTTCCTGAGCACTTCTGCACTCTGTTGTGTCCTAAATGTCTTCCAGCCTTCCAATAGTGTCTTGCCTCTCGTACATTCTCCATTAACATTTAATACCTTGGAAGTCATCATGGATTTTATGGATGAGGAAGGCCTGCATTCAGCCTTTAAGAGTTGGTAGGAATTGGATAATTAAAGAAGGGAGGCAGGGCACAAGTCAAAGACTTGAGAGAGGGCGTAACAGAGTGTGGGGTGACGAGACCAACCTGATGAGATTGAAGGGTGTTCGGGTGGAACTGGAGTAGAGAGATGGGCTCCTACTCATCCCTCAAGTCTGTCTCAAGTATAATCTCATCAGGAAGGTGTTACCTTCCTGATGTCCTCAGATGGAATTAAGTAAGCCCCTCCTCTATGATCCCATTGTATTTGGTACATGAGTGGAGATGATCATCTCTTTATATTGTGAATACTTATTTATGTGTGCAGCATAAGGGCCAGGATCATATAT